CCATGATTATGCCATGATTGATGAAAACGATGTTGTTTTAATTGTACAATCATCAGACCACAATGTTCTTTAATCATTTCGATTGTATCATCAAATATTGGTAAAAAACGTTGTCCGGATTCATATGCCAGCCATTGATTACCTGATTCTAAATCTTCAGATATTTGTATAAAATTACAATAATCTTCTGGATGATTAAATGTTATTTTACGCCATGTATCTTTCAAACGAACAACAGGTGGACATTGAAGACTTTTTGTTACCAAATTTATCGCCAACCAATTATTTAATGTTTGCAAATGTCGTATAACACGAATAAAAAATAATATCGATCGAACACGTTGTTCTAATTGATGATTGTTCAGAATATTTGTTGCAATTAAACGTACAATACGATTTTGAAAATGAAATAAACCTTTTATATGGGTACAGGTTTTCTAATGAATAAAATTAAAAGTTTTCATTAGTAAAATCAGGAAATCTTCCCCGGAAATTTTCGTTTCCGGAAAATTTCCTTACTCACCATTGCATTAGTAATATTCAAAATAAAATGAATAATTTCCGATGATTTGATTGAATTAAAATATTTTCTTATCATAATTGATAATTCATTTGCAAATAGAATGATTTGTTGATCGGATTCTGGATCAAATTCCATTGATTCCTCATTATCATCGTCGTCGTTGTTTACAGAATAATTATCATCATCATCCGTGTCTGATGCTGCAGTGGTGATGGTGGAAACAATCGATGATTGTGTTGCCATCGAATTCAAACGGTTAAATTCTTGTTGTCGTCGTTGTCGATGTTCAGGATTAATCAAAGCAATTTTATCCTGATAACATTCACGTTGTTGTTGTCGTTCAGCTTCAAATGACCATAATTGTCCACCACCAAAACTTTGTCGACGAAATTGAAGTGGATCACTACCACCACCAAATGTTGGTGGTACTAATGATTGTCGTCGACGATTACTTACTGCTTGTATATAACGCATTTCTGAATCCGATATCATTCCATT